AGTTGTGAGAAATTCTTGCATATAAATAATAACAATACAGGATGACCAGTAAGAATGCTGCTTGGCAGACACTTTTACTCAAGTAGGACACTGCCTTGTTTCTATTCATGAAAAAAGATGTAGGTCACAGAGAAAACAGCCCCTGGATTCTATAGAACTAAAAATACCTGCCAAAGTAAAATTCTTGGGCAATTAAAAAAAATCTTTTTAAAAAGAAAACATTTCTATCCACATTCCTTTGACCATCACAGCTGCTTGCTTCTACCTCCATTTCAGTAATTTTATTTAATCTGTGTATGAACCATCTTCTCGCACTAGTTTTAAAAAACCAAAAGGGAAGAAGCGATTATTTCATCTTTGGATCCTCCATAAAAATCGTTCAAAAAGATTTACTGAATCAAATTATGCTTAAGCCTTTGATAAGCTTTATCATCTCAAAACAATGTTTAATCAATTTCCTATGTAAATGTTTTTCAGATGAAAGAACAAATCCCAGAAGCAAAGTTTAATCTTCCCAGTGAGTCATTAAAAAGAAATGGTTTTTAAGCTTTCATGCTCATAAATACCTTTCCTGGGGTCTGAACCAGCAAGTCTCCTAAGACACCAGCTTTTTGTTTTGTTTTAAACATAAGCCTGAAATTCATTAATACAGAAAATAAATTTCAAAGCTGCAAGTGAAAACAAAATAGTGAAAATAATTTAAGGACTTTTAACTAATGACACCTATCAGGAAAGGCTAAATGTGGTACTTTTTTCCTGCACAGTTTTCAAATAGATTAAAAAAAAAAAAAAAAAACCCACCAGATACTAAATCTCATCCTACGAAACACTTTCTTCCTGATGCTACTTCTCCCAATAAAACAGGTTACACATCTAACCACACTAGTCTTGATCCAAATTGTACACTCTCCATCCAAATAAGGCCTGAAATGAAATCCTTCCAAATTTTCCCCTTTTTTTTTGTAACTTTTCACCCCCTTTCTACAGATTTGCTCAAAAAAAAGTAGTAACTTTTTATGTTCAGAACATTCTGAATGATCCTTCCAGTGAAGTGCCACATCTTTGTTGTCAATATTCTCAGTATTTTGACGTAAGAAATCTATATGCAATACCCAGTCAATGAACAGTGACTCTGGAGCGAAGAACTAGACTAGAACCGTAGTAGCAAACCAGAACCCAAAGTAAAGCTTCAAGCAGAGATCATGCATTTTCACGGGTACATAGTAACATCTTCTAAATGTTCCTAGGAAATAAAGCGGTCTACATAATCAAGCAGGGAGAACAGAGTCCACCAACTTTACAGAAGCTTGGGCTACAACTCCTTCCAGACTTTGTATGAAATTTTTTTCTGAACAAGGAGTCTTGGAGGCAATGCTTCACCCAGATTCCGTTTGTGTTCCTATCTTCTGGTGTGAGAACATTTCCAACTGTCCCTTCCCTTTATTAAGGCAGGTAGGTAAGCAGAACAAGTGCAGGAAGTCCCCATCTAAGAGATACTGTGCCAAGTATATGTGCTGCTCAAAGACTTTTCTCTTTACAACAGCTAATTTTCTGCCCTATTCCAGAAAGCTGAAGCTGAAAATGATCTAAATCTTTATGATGAAATTAAGGGAAAAGGGCTGAGGGTGTGACTTTAGTATCAGGGTACTTGCCTAGCATGCACAAGAGTCCGAGTTTGATTCCCCAGTCGTGACAAGAAAAAAAAAATGAAGGAAAAGCTAGTACAAAACAGGAGGACAGCATAACAGTCATGCTGATTTAAAAGGGCACAATGATATGAGAATCTTTTTAAAGGTGCTTGAGAACAATTTTAGAATGACTGCAATGACATAGTCCCTGTACACATCAGAAGGCATAGGAATTTCAGTGAAACATTCACTTAAATGCTGTTAAAAGTACAAATAGTTTTGATTTGGAAATATACCACTTATTGACCTTGTTGCCTAGAAGCAGCTATAAGCATTACTAACCAAAGCATGATAAATATGTAGACACACGTATTACAAATAACACGCACAAACACCCACTCACCCACATAGTGTAGGCCTACGAGTATGTGGTCTTTGTGTATATAGGTATAAACAAAATTTAATTATTGCCTAGAATAGAGGCAAATTACATTTCAAGTATGTTCTCAGAATATACAAAGAAGATAGCTCTTCTTCATTAGGAAACTGTAATGAAGTTTCTGAATAAAGAATTCAAAGTATATGAACTTAAAAAACTTGAATGTTATGATTCTTGTGACTCAAGAAGCTGATTTATCTTTTACTCTTTCATTCCAAAAATTTTTTTTAAAAAAGTTCTGCTTTGGAAAGACTATCTGGTTAGGTTCAGTTTACAGCCTAAACTAAAGAATCATTTACAATCTGAAACTCCAGAGTAAGTATTAAGCACAACGCAGATGTCTGTTGTTTTAATTGCTTAAATCATTTTTTAAAAACATATGGCAACTTGACATTTCAAAGCACTCACAATTATTTTCTGAAGAAATGCTAGGGTACCTCACATGCTGCCAGCAAAACAGAAATCATTTAAAGAATAATTTATTTTATGTCATCAAATAATTTTTAAAGCTTCCTAATAAATTGTCCAAGTTGGGGTGGGGGGATGGTGGACAGAAAAACAAAAACAAACTATTAAATAAGAGAAGTTATTTAGAACAACTGTTTCATCTACCTGCGCCTTCAAAAGAAAAAGGAACAACAAAAAAAGCAAAAATGAAAAACAAGCCTTTGCTGGCTTTGATACATTCGCTGAAAAACCGGGAGGGGTGAGGAGGGCGCAAGGAGAGCACAGGTAATTTTAAAAGGTATTGTCTAGAAACTAGAAATGAGAAGAAACAACCCCAATGCTCTATGATTACCCAAGAACGGGTTTAGCCAGATGAGCAAGTCTGGTACAAACCCTCCCCAAGGCATTTGAAAGACTATCAAACAAAACTTTATTAAACTGGATTACATGGTCTCACTTATTAGATGTTTAAGGCCACAATATTTATGATCAGGTGAAAAAGTTGATTCACGACACCCAAACTTCGGCCTAGATCCTCTTTTTCGTTGGCTTTTATTAGTATGAGCATTGTTAAGACAACCCACTATTAAATTTCTTTGCCAGCAGGTCAAGTTCCAGAATCCCAGGTACAAGCATTCAGAGCACTAAACCCTGACAGGGGTTGAAAGGCTATTAAGATATGGCCTGCCTACATCCCTGCAATAAGCTGTTGATTACATCGTTATATGCAGTTGTGCTGTCTTTTATTAGCAGACTTTAACCCCATGAAAACATGTTCCCTTCTTCCTAACTCCAGTTTCAAGGACTTCCAAGAGAAAAAACAATAGTTTAAATGTTTGTAAGTCATTTCCCTGTCTCTCCACATCCCCTTTGATCAAAACTTCAGGTAAAAACCCATGTGCCATGTTTCGCTAATACAAGTAGCCTGTAGAAGATATTTCAGTATTTTCATATGGAGTATTTTCCTGGCACTCATCATTTTTAACTTGAAAACTGTAGATTGAAGTTTTTATTAGATGCCAAATTCTTTTGTGGGTGCTTAACTGTAAATGTAATTTCTGCCTTGGGTTGCTTATATGTAGGATCATTCCTTTTATGTAATCAATTTGTCTATATCTTAAAAACCTCAGACCAAAACAATCCATTCATTTCATAGATAAATGTAGGAGATGTCTTTTCTTTAAAAGCAGTTTCTCAAAAAGCCCTGGTATCTACCACATTGTCGCCAATACCATTTGGGTTTTAATAAGTCCCATGTTTATTGTTGGGATATCTAGCAATACTTCCTAACATGCACACAAAATGTCTGCAGTCAGGTTCCTCTCAAGGCTCTATCTCAGCTCTGACCTTTGTTCAAAGGCTTTTACTTTTTAATGCAGCAGTTAGAGATAACTACTTCATTTATCAAAACTCAATTTCCATAGTAACATCTAGCCTGGGGAGATTCAAGTCCTCACACTAATCCAACAACCCATTCAAAGGAACTGTTGAATACTTTGGTTTCCATAGCAATGATGGAATAATACATTTTGCTAGGTCACTGCTTTTATTAGCAAACTTATTCTTTGAACTTTAGGTAAGGCTGTATTTATTGAGGAAAAAAGTACAATCGCTTTATGGAAGTTCTTTCCTTTAGGGCTATTCTTTTAAGAAAATTACAAATAGCAACTATCTATTTATTTGAAAATATTATGGGTATGTGGAGCCCTTTAATAAAGTCTACCACATAACTCCACCTTAAATTGGGTACTGATATAGTTTTAGAATTAAAAAGCTCCTAAAAGGAATTGCTATAGATTTAAAAAAAATTATTATAAAATTAAAGAGACTAACTTTAAAAGCAAGTTTTAAACAAGAATGATTTTAAATGGAAGCTAGTATAAAGATGAGGTTTCTCAAACACAGCAAGCCTGGGCTGGGGCAGAATGTGAAATCACTTTTAAACCATAACCCTATTTTTGACCACCTGACTTTAATACTCTGCAATTTCAGGCCTGCTTTCATCAGGCACAGCAAACGCACTGAATGCAAACCTTTTAAGCTAACGGTGAAACCAAAGATAATGTTTTAAACAGTTATGCTGTGTACATGCTAAATGGAAAAACAAATTAGTGTTCAAAATGGCTTTATTGAAGCAACATGATTTACCAAGGAAAAAGAACTTTTTTTTCTTCTTTCAAGACAGGAATAGCATTGCCATTAAAAGTTTTAAAATCCATTAGTAAACACTGTTGCTTATGTTTGGGAGCAATTAATTCTATGTGAGGTGACAGGGCAAGGCCTCCTTGAGGGGACATCAGCCTTCCTGGAACCAGACTTTCTCATGGAACTGAATTCTGAGCCAACCCAGTGCTGAAAAGGTAGGTCATTAAAAAAATAAAAGTTGACAGAAGAAAGAAGAGATCAAACACGTGCTGGCTTTTAAAGGGATGAATACCACTTCTACTATTTACACAACTCCCAGAATTAACAAGAAAATTACATACCGGTATGAGTCCTCAGGTGAGCTTTTAAATGAGACGACTTTGTATAAACTTTTGTGCAACCTGAAATAAAGGAGCAGAGGAAGAACATCTTGTCATTCTGGAGGTCCTTTTGAAATCTTTACATTTGATGATGCAGTGTTTAAAATCTGGCTTTCAAGAGGAAATCTCTCAGGCTAGATGAAATATTTGAAGCTTCAGTTTTAAAAGTCTTAAGGAGCCCTTCCCCCATTACCTTATTAAAGCATAAAGTGGCTTGTTTTATATATTACTTACTAGTAGGAAAGAACAGGTATTTGAGCCAACTGACAAATGGAAAATGTGTTTATATCCCAGTAGGTACTTTTTACTAGTAATACTTAACAGCTATTATAGAACATATGGGGTTTTTTTAAATTAATGGATATAGGGCTGACAGTACTAAACCATTATCCAAGATGACTATAATTTTCTGTTCTCTGACATTTGTTTTTTTCATTTAGCATGTCATGCCATATCATGTACCAGTCAATAAATTATGCCCTGTATTAATCATAAATGAGCTTACGCTAGCAACTGAGAGATATATTCATTACTGTCATCAATTTATATTTTGAGTCATGTATCTCACTCAAAAATGAGCTTATGCTCTGGGAACCATCCCTAAATCTATCCTGTGGACAGTCTAGTATATACCAGCAGGCTAGGTGGCTACAACTCCTGCTTCAATATAATATACATTTTCCCCACCTCACTGAATCTTTCCAGAGCACTTAATTTAGAACTTAAAACTGCAATTTACTAGATTATCTTAAATGAGCTCCTTAAAATTTTATTTACTATTAAAGAAAAAAGTCCAAGGTAACTTTATCCCATTTAAGGCAGGGCCCTATGTAGCACTGGATGGGGCGTGAGCCACCATGCCCAGCTGGCCATTTTTTTAAATATCTAAGTAAGCAATAGATGACTACCTGATTACAAACCAGGATAAAGCACAGAAATCAGTTATGAAATGAGCAAAAGTTGGGCTGAGAATATAGCTCAGTGGTAGAGCACTTGCCTAGTATACCCAAAGGCTCTGGGTTCAATCTCAGCACTGAAAAAAAGCCAACTAAAATAATTATCTGTTTTCACCCATCAAGTGCAACTTCCCTATGTAAATTTAAAGTCATTAGTTATAAAGGTACAAATGCACATGCACCACTCACAAGCACCTTCAAGGCTTCAACCAGCTAAGACCACTTACCCGGATAATCGCAGTAGTGGATGCGTCGTTTCTCCAAATCCGGGTTACTCCTTCTATTGTATCTGACAGGTTGGATGTTTTGAGAAGTAACTGGCAGAGTGGCAGATAAATTTGGATTGTGAATTGCCAGTTTAGAAGCAATCGTAGCAGCATAGGATGGAGGTGGGGTTAAATTCTGGAGCATCTCTGCTTGTCTATCGGGACTTCCAGGCTCTGAGCTGGGTGGTGACGGGGGGAAGTAAGTGGCCTGTTGTGGCAGAAACTGACTTGGCATTGTGTATGTGCAAGGGGGCATGCCCTGGAACTGTTTCACTGCAGTCTGCGGAACAGCAGAGGTGTGTGAGTTAAGGCCTGCTATGGCCGCTGACATAGAAACATTAAGGGTGTCCATTACTGCTGTCTGGTTTGTAGAACTGGGCATGTCTAGATCCGGTGTATTCAGTAGCTGGTACAGGTGACCCTGCTGGGAAGGGACAGAAAGATGAAGATCTGGTGTAGGAAGTTCTTGTTTGATGAAAATATTGTTCACCTCTGGAGCTGCGGTCTGGTGTGAGCTGAATATACTGGTGAACTCGGGGAGGGCCTGGGTCGGGGCCGGAGGAGGAGGGGCAGTCGTTTCACTCTGGTGGCTGAAAATGGTAACAGGTTCTGTCTTGATGTGTGGTACGCAGGGTCTCTGGGATTTGTAGAGGCCAGTTCTCAGGTGAGTGATGTCAGGGAGGAAGACGTTCATACTGATACTGTAAGGTAACCCTTCACTGTCAGTGAAGAACTGGTCTACCACTGAGGCACTGTCTCGTCTATACTTTTTATGCTCTGGAATTATTGGAACTGGAGGAAGCTGAGGTGTCAGATACTTCTCCATTTCACATCTCGTCTAAAAAAGAAGAGATACAAACATATGTAATCTACCCAATTCATCTCAGGAAGAAGGGCAAGCGGCACTTACTAAAAGTTCTCCCCAGGATCCCTGGGAACAGTTCTAGGACAAGCTCTTAAGTGCTGCTTATAAACTTATCAGGTTCATTTTGGCCCTTGTATAATTATCGGTTCACCAAAAGCTTATTAGGAAAGTCTGTATGACATGTCTTTGGTAAAATCGCTCACCAAGTCAACCCCAGACAAAAGTGAAAGAGGCAAATCAAGAAAAAAAGGAAGCAGAATACATATTCCTTTCTGATGCAATATCGAGTGTCGGCTCTGTAGGAGCAGGAGTCCCTGTTTAATGCAGTTAAACTGCAATTAAAGTAGGATCCAAGTATTGCCAAACCACCTCAGTTCTGTTTGTGTCACATAGCAAAATTTAACATCTTATTTAAAAAATAAAAACTAGGCAAACTTTAAAATAATATTGCAAAAGGTTTTGTTTTGAAATTTGGCTGGATAATTCAAAACTATCTACCATAAAACATTCTTTGGTTATTTCAATGCCTTTTCTCGTGTATCACTCAATGAAAACTTAAACACAATGTTCTGAGCAAACCATCGTGTCCACTGAAACGAAACAATTTCACATCCACCATTTGATCTAAGTGTTGATTTTAACCAGCAGATTGGTAATTGGTTAATATGATAATGAAATGTTCCTATTCATATCCCTATCTGAAACAGATCTTTAATTACCTAAGGGAAAAATCACTCCCTTGGTAGACTGGTGCTAAGAAGCCCGTGGGTGGGACCAGTCTGCTGTATCACTAGCAGAGTCATCAGCAAAACATTTATCGTGTCCTCTTCAGTGGGCCAATGTTACATTCCCCCTCACTCTGTAAAAAGCTCAGTCATCCCTTAGCTCTAGGTGTCTCCTACGCAGAAAACTGCCACATTGAAATAACCAAATCGATCTCAGTGATTTTTAAGGACACGACCTGGCTTGTAACCAGTTGCCTCAGTCTTTTTACAGCTATCTTCTTTCCTAGTATAACATAACCTTCATTTTTTTCTTCATTTTTAGCAACGAAAAGGAAATTTCAAAAGAAAACCAAAACCCAACTAAATGGAATGGCTCATATAACTATTAGCCACAGTTCCTTAATCGGTGAATAACAAAGTCCTATTTTGCTACTAAATCTCAAAGAGCGTTTCATCTCGGACCTCAGCAGCTTCGGTGTGGATGGGAACGGGATTTCCCGGATACGCACGATTTAAAAATAAAGATTAACGCGGCAGTCATGTGAATAACATCTCTGACAGAATGCCACTGTCCTCTCAAAGCACTGCGACCCCGGCAGACCCCCGGGAGGAGGCGCTGGGCACGAATACACAATATACCAAGCGGCTATTAAATGAAGCGTCTGGAAATAAACCGAACTAAACCCTTTCGTGAGCTGCGCTCCCGTGGCGGTTAGTGGTTTCTGATTTTAGCTCTTCCAGCTGTTTGCATGTGGGTCTGTTTCCAATTTTTTTTTTTTCTTCCTTGGGACAAGCTAAAAGTCCCGGGAAGTTTTTTCTGGGCTATATGACTCCGTGCGTGGGCGAAAGAAACAGGCGGTTGCTCTAATTCGGCTGCTGGACAAGTGTAAAAGCCAACTGCCAGTTTTCAGCGCCGCTCGGGGAGGAAATTTACGCGCACGCAAAGAAAAACACCCCCGGCCTCCCCCCGCCCTTTCTTTTTAAGGAAAAATAAGCGCTCCAATACAGTCTTAGTCTTCCTAACTCCTGTTTCCCAAACGGGGCCCCACGATCGCTTGTAGAGCAGGGTGAGCCAGGGAGCTGAAACCCCGCGATCCTCTCCCCAGCACCCCAACCTGCAGTTCTACTTAAAGCGAGACGGCGAAGGGAGGTGGTCCTTCAAGGCCACGGCCATGGGAGGGAGCGGTGAAGCGCAATTTAAGTCAAGTCGAGCTTGAGGTTACAAGGTTTCAGCCCCCGCATGTAGGAAAAACAAGCAAGGTGCGCGTGAGCGCCCGGCTCTCTCGAACCTCTTCCAGGCGGACTGCCAAGGGCCGATTCACCTCGGAACACCCCCTCTTCCAGGCCCCCCAACTTACGCCCTGCAAAACGCGGTGCCCAGGCCTGGAGGGCCGGGCAGAGCAGGGCGGGTCCGCCCACCCCAGCGCCCGCTACCGTGCGCCCCGACGCACGCCCAGCCTGGAGCGGCCCCTGTCGCCCGCGCGTCGCAGCGGCGGGACACGCCCGAGCCCCGGGAAGGAGGCGGAGGGAGGGAAGGAGGGAGGGCAGCCGCTCTTCCTACCTGGACCAGCTCCTCCGGGGGCAGCCGCGGGCCCGCGGCGGGCGGCGGCGCCGGCTGCGGGGGCTGCGCGGGCGCTGGCTGCGCCTGCGGGTGGTGGTGCGGGTGCTTCAGTTCCTCGCCGGGGAAGAGCGCCGCATCGCGGGCCGGGTTCGCGGCGCCCAGCACGGGCTTGAGCTGCGCGAATACCGGCTCGTCCTGTGGGGCCGGCGGCTGGGGCACGGGTCCCAGGCGGGCGCTCATGGTCAGCACCCGCGTAGCCATGGGCAGTCGGGGGGCAACTCCGGGCGCGGGGCGCGGATCAAGCGCGCTTCCCACCTCGCCCACGCTGGCTCGGGACGGCGAACTCGGCGCGGGGCCGCGGGTGAAGGGGACGCTCCGAGCAGACCCCTCGGCCAACAGCAGACACAGTTTTTTGAAGGCGCGCACGAAAAGCAAAACTCTTCCGCTGTGCCTCGCGTAAACGCCAACGTCCTCCTGGCGGCCACTTTCTCCCGCCCCGCCCCAACGCGCTCTCTCCCTCTCTGGAGCCCGCTCCCGCCACCGCCGATCTCCGCGAGCGAGCTGCGAGCGCGCGTACCTGCCCGCGACTACTGACACTTGACGCCCGCCTCTATTTCACCCAACTCCAGGTGGGCGGGGCCTGCCAACCTGACTGGCAGCGCCGCGGCGAATCCCGAGGCGCTGAGGCCGGCCGGGCCGGAGTGACCAGCCTATGAGAGGAGAGAATTCCTCTAGGCCCCGCCCCCGCCAGGCCGACCGCACCCCTCGGGCCACGAGCTTCGCGCGCAGGGCTGCCGCGCAGTTTGTACACAAGTCCTCTGACAGATTGGGCTGACGGAGCCGGGGGCGGAGGGAAGGAGAGGAGCGGGCGGAATCTAGGAAGAGGGGGAATTAGGGTGGAGACGCCGAGCGAGATCTCTTCGAACTGTTCTCTGCCAGGATTAGGGAGGAAAAAAAAAAAAAAAAAAAAGATTGCACGTCTTAGGTGTTGTGCAAGGACCTGAAACTCAAAAGCTGAAACCCAGAAGGCAGCTAGCTAGGTGGGGGCGCTAAGGGTTTTAGCGACTTGTTTAATGAGTGTTTTTTTTAAATACACTAAATGTACTTTAGCGGAAAACTAGGGGCGGTGTGATAAACAAATTTAAAACAGCTCCTGTCTCTAGGTATCCTTAGCAGGGGATGTATCCATTTAGCGAAGCAAATTCGGCATGTCCTGAATAAAAAGCTTAATAGCAAGCATTTTCTTTTTAAGTCCTTGCATACAAGCCTGGGCTTTTTCTTTTTCCTCTTCAGTATTTAAATAGCGTTCAGAGACGTTTTCACACACGTCTCAGCCTCCTAATACGTGTGTGGAGAGGAGTGGGTGGGCCCTATGAATTTTTAAGTTTTTAATATTTAAACCATGTTGACTCTAGCCAAGGCACAGAATCTAATTTAAGCACTCACAACTAGCTCAAATGTGTATTGAAATAGACATTACATCTTGGACTTATTTTTGCTAGCACTGTAGGTTCAGAAAAAAAAAATGGGAGTTTAATACTTACAGAATAGAAACAGTCCATTTACCTAATACCGTGGCACCTTTTCCTACGAAAAGACAACCAAAGAAGTTACATGCACGAGACACTCAGCAGCTCTGAAGAATGGGAAACCAAATTTGTAGGAAAGTAACAGCCAATATTATTACTGTCCATACACTACGTTATTATAATGGGAGGGTGAAATTTTGCCAGCAATCACCAAAGGAAACCACTGCCCTTAATTCTTAATGTTCTTGTACATGATTTTATCTGGCTTATTGGGAAGCCGGAACCGTAAATTGCAGTAAAAATGCCTGTGATATGACTACATGTGCACATACATTGACAGCACACTCTGTATAGACAACAGCCCACTCACCACTTCACAGTGAAACGGCTTCGAAAAAGTTCTTAGAAAAAAGTTCACTTCAGAGTCTATCAAAAGAATGGATCTCATCTCATCTTCCACCCATCTGAAGTATTAGATGTATTTATTTTAGAAAAGATACAATTACGCTTGGAACTAGATTTTTTTTCCCCTTTCCTTCCCTTCCTGTTAATGCATGATTCATTTTTATAGTTGTGATCCCTCCCTGCTCTCAGAGAATGGCTGATAACTACTTTCATTTAAAAAATTATTTAATAAGTGTTTTTGCAAATGTGTTTCTTAGCAAGCAATCTCATGCCGTTCACCTTCACCTTTAAAAAGCTATTCTAATTTTACCTAAGAGTAAACCTTAGTGTATAATTAAATAGCTTAGAAACCGGTTATAGAATTGGTATGAGATTTAATGTAATGTTTAAAAAAATGATCTTTGAGAGATTTTTAGTTACTTAATACTGATGATAGGCTCAAACCTGATCATTTGATGTAGATAATTCTTAATAGAACTTTTGTGCTGTTTTTACTTTAAGCTAAAGCTAACTTAAAGTTCATACACCCTGGTACCTCTCTGTATTTTCATTTGCCTTTAATCTGTCTAGATCTTTCCTTTTGTGTCTCTTTTTACCAGAGCTTCAGTGGCCTGTGATTTCCACCCAAGTTTTCGCTGCAATAAGATCCATTTATTTTACTGGAAATGCTTCTAAATTTCACACCAGTTTTTGGTTTTTTTTTTTTTTAACCTGCTTTCTCTTACAAATGCTTCTCACTGCAACAAAACAAAATGAAAGCCCACACAACTGTTTGATAACCCTATAATAACACTTTTATGGTCATGTTCATTTTTCACCTTTCCACTCTTCTTAATGAACACAGATAGAAACCTGGCTATGGTTGGGTTTGCAGATCAAATGCATTTGTAATATAAAAAAATTATAATGTATTTTTTTTCCTCACATACGGTAGCATTTATTTAAATTTCATTCCTGGCATAAAGATTCATGAAATAGGACTGCCATTTTTAAGTAATGGTTTCTCTGAAAACCTTAGCTCTGCAATCTCTCAGAAAATAACTAGCTTAACTGTGTAATGTAGTAAGGAGGTTGGAAAGCAATCCTTTTCTGAGATGTTGGCTGGGTTCTGAACACGGAAAGAACGTGTTCACCCAAGGCAAACGCCACAGCTGCAAACCTGTTCCATCAACTTAGCACAAAAGGGTTAAAACCTGATAAATATTTTTCAAATGTTCCAGGTTCCACCTTGGCGTGCAGCCAGATAGTGTGAATGGACAGATCTTCTACTACTTTGAACTTTCTAGTTCCTTGCATTCCTTCCTGCTTAGTAGTGCTGTACCATTAGGGAAGATGGGAGAAAACAAAAAAACAAATGTTAGCTTTCAGAAATCAATTACTGGCCTGGCAGTGGAGTGTTAACTGAACTGTGCCAAAACAGGGGATTCTGAGGAAAGAAATAAAAATGTTGAGTAGTCAAGTTAGGTAGGAGGGTAAGCGTAGAGGCAGTGTGCATGCTTTCGTCCTTAGTCACTGGGCGACACAGATTTAGCCTTAGAATAAACCATAAGTGTCACTATCTTTACGGGAATAAATTGGCTTGAATGTGTGGGGGCTGAGCAAGCATCCAGCCATGGGGGCGGGGGCTTGAGGGAGGCTGTGGAAAAAAATAGATAAATAGCTTCTGAATGATGAGATGAGAAAACTATGAAGCTATCAGCAGGGCAATGTTCACAGAAGACGTGCAGAAGTCTCCACCGTGTCAGTTGTTTGTCAGACACATCAGGGAGAACTTGAAATTGAGAGATCTAGAGGTCATAGCCAACTCAATTTCATTGACATTCACTGGGAGAAGACCCATGGAATATCCCATTTCTGTGCAATCAGAATCAACTTACCAAGTGATTCTGGGCTACAGAAAAAGCACAAGAATAAGCAACAACAAATTTTGATATAGTAACACACTCTTTCCTATGGTTAAGATTATTTGATCAAAAGTGAGTGAAAACATAAAAGGAAATTACTGTGCTCTAAAACATTTCATGTCTGTGATCTTTTGATTTTTCACCAATAACAACTACTTGAAGTCACATATCAAAAAAAAGTCATTGAGGGAATAACACAATGAATAGAAGCTTCTGCCAGTTGTGGTGGCAGATCCTGTAATCCCAGCACTTGGAAGAGTAAAGCAGGAGGATCACAATTTTGAGGCCAGTTTGGGATACATAGTAAGTTCCAGGCCAGCCTGGAATACATAGTGAGACCCTGTCTCAAAACCCAACAACAACAAAAAAATCAAGCCAGGCAACTGTGGCTCACGCCTGTAATCCTAGCTATTCAGGAGGCAGAGATCAGGAGGATCACGGGTTCAAAGCCAGCCCTAGGCAAATAGTTAGTAAGACCCTATCTCAAAAAAAAAAAAAAAAAACTCAGAACAAAAAGTATCATAAAGGGCTGGAGGGGTAGCTCTAGTGGTAAGAGCACCTGCTTACTGCCTAGCAAGCAGGACACTCTGACTTCAAACCCCACTGCTGAAAAGAAAGAAAAGTAAATAAAAGCTTCAATTGAGATTATTAGAATTCTAGTCATTTTGATTCAAAAGATTAAGAGATAAGAGAAAGATGCTCTGTTCATTTCTTTTGTGATGAAAGACATGTAATGAAAATATTTACTATACTTCATTTTTGTATAAATTAAAATGATGTCTAAATAAGAAACAAGTTAATGTTCTACTTTTGTACTGTCTTAAGAAATCGATTTTATATTTAATTTTGGATTTAAATGTGCTCTTCCAGAAATATTCCATAAACCTCCAATTATGTACTTATTCCCAAATGTACATTAATTTACCTAGTCTACTTTTAAAACTCTAATGATACAGAGAAAACAGCAGAGTTTTACCTTTTGGGGGGACTAGGATTGCTTTTTCCAGCTTGTTAGTAAGCAGGCAAAAATGACATCAATATAGATGCCTTTGATCCAAGCTATAGGCCAGGCTTACTGTCGCTTCAAATGTACAGTATTTGAATTCTGACGCTAAACATGATAGGAAAGTCAAGGAAAATTCCTGAACTGAAGCAATCACTCCAAAGTCTCTTAGAACGTTAAGGAGACCACATCATCAGGCATCACAATGAGAACTGTTGTGAGCCAATTGTGTGCACCTCTTGACAAAAGCAGTAATGGTGCTAGGCTGTGGGGTGACTGTGCCGGACACTGTGCATGGCTCACAGGGACATACCCTTCCCGGCACTGGTTTATACACGAAGTGGGTGAAAATCGTGCTGGACAGTGCCAGCTCTTCAGGCCTTCCCTCCACTTACTCTTGTGAGACCTACATTTAGAAAGGACACGGTGACACTGAAATGGATAGATAACTCTCCTTCTAGGAAATACATACTATAAATATCTACTTATATATAAATGAGAAATAGCCTAGGCTTCCAACACCAGGGCCACATTTAAACAGCACGTCCATACCATGGCGTGGGCTGCAGATGGAGCTCGGTGGTAGCGTGTTTGCCTCGCACACACAAGGCCCTGGGTTCGATCCACAGCACCGCAAGAAAATATAATGTGGCTGTTGTTTTGTTGTCAGAATCAGCTTTTAAAGACTATT